CAGTAGCTGATTCAGAAGCGCCAGATATTCATAGCAAAGTCAGAATTACCTCTTCTCCTAGGTTCACGAAACGGTCGTCCATAAAATGCATTGCTGTTCTGTTGTAAGTAATCTTAAAGATTCCTAAATGCATCTACTTTCGGAAGGCCAAATAAAGTGCTTTTGCTTTCGCCTAGAAACACACAGCGTCTCCCTGACATGCTGCTTCAACACTAACTGCGGTTACTGAAACCACGCCTTCTTTCTTTGCGTGCACATTTGGGCTGCATTATGCTAATATTGCCACATAGTGAGGTAGATATGTGGGGGCGTGTTAGAACAAGCCGTTTTAGGGGGGCGTGGCAGAGTCTTAACTTTGATAAAGAATATCTCTTTGGTTTTGAGACTTTAGTCTTTGCAACTTCAGGGATCTTATCTATGCACAATCAGCTTGTAACACTCCAAAGAGAAAGGAAAACTTGAAATCGCATCGTATGACCCCTTTAAAACAGCATAAAAATGACAAAATGCACATAATAAAATTATTAAAATTAAAAACAAAATACTGAAATAATATATAAATAATGCTAAAATTACACTGTTCCTGAAAACCTGATAAATGCATGCTAAAGTAATGAAGTCTTGTGTTTTAAATTCCAGACCGTAAATTCAGGATATAATATTATATAATAATAATGTTATAATTAATATGATATGGTTGATTTGCAGGAGCGTTATGTGGCCAGTCTAATGCCTCTACAGAAGAGCATCTCTCCCTGGAAAGTACGAGATTTTTTTCCCCCAGAAATTTTACTTTGAAATGAATAGATTTTGCAACTTTTTTGAATACTCACAATGTTTCTCTTTGTCTTCTCTGATTTGTCAGAGTCCTCCCCAGCTGCGGCCGTTCAACCAGGAGGAGTTTATGAAAACACTTGAGAAGGCCGGACCTCAGCTCACCTCACGACTCAAAGGAGACTGGATCGGCCTCTACAGGTACAGACTTTTAGAATAATTATATATATAAATATAAAAGGTAGTATAGTAGAATATCATTGTTTTTGCTTAAATATGAAGCAGCACAACTGTTTTCAACATTGATAACAATCAGAAATGTTTCTTGAGCAGCAAATCAGCATATTAGAATGATTTCTGAAGATCATGTGACACTGAAGACTGGAGAAATGATGCTGAAAATTCAGCTTTGATCACAGAAATAAATTACATTTTACTATATATTCACATAGAAAACAGCTATTTCAAATTGTAATAATATTTCATAATATTAGTCTTTTTACTGTATTTTTGAGCACATAAATGCAGCCTTGGTGAGGAGAAGAGACTTTAATGTTTCCAAACTCGACTTGTGCAGGCAGTTCCTGAGGTCTCCGAACTTCGACGGCTGGTTCAGGAACCGCAGGAAGGAGATGACGCAGAAGCTGGAAGCTCTTCATCTGGAGGCGCTCTGTGAGGAAGACCTGCAGCTGTGGATACAGAAGCACACAGAGGTGGAGACCGTCGACCTGGTGCTCAAACTCAAGGAGAAACTGGTTAGTACTGCACTCGTTCTGTGGGAGATAAAGAAATAGTTCTCCCAAAAATGAACATTTGCTGAAAATGTAGGCCATCCAAGATGTAGATGAGTTTGTTTCTTCATCAGATTTGTAGAAATGTAGCATTGCATCACTTGCTCAGCAATGGATCCTCTGCAGTGAATGGGTGCCGACAGACAGAGAGTCCAAACAGCTGATAAAAACATCATGCTAAATTTCTCCAAATCTGATGAAGAAACAATCTACATCTTGGATGGCCTGAAAAAAACTCTGACTGCTTTGACAGATCATGTGATTGGTCCGCTGGTTACTCCAGATATCCAATCTCATTGCACACTATCTAAAATATTGTTTTGAAATGCCTGAGACGGTCTGATTTGGTATAATTACTTCCCAGAATCGTCTCACACAATTAAAAAGCGTGCATTCAAATGCAAGATAACATGACATAATTTTTTATTGCATTTCAGGTCATTTAAAGGGTCATGAAACCCCAGACTACTTTTTCTGAGATTTTAGCAGAGGTGTTTGTGTTGCACATTATAGAAGACAATGTTAGCATTTTTTTACTTTTAAAAAAGCAAATTTTAACTGTTTGAGAAAACGGGTTAAATTTAAGCTTTTTTGCACTATTTTCGTCTTCGGGTTTAAAGGAGTCACATGATGTTGCTAAAAAGAACATTATTTTGTGTATTTGGTGTAATGAAATGTGTTTATGCGGTTTAAAGTAAAAAAAATACATTATTTTCCACATACTGTACATTATTGTTTCTCCTCTATGCCCCGCCTTTCTGAAACGCATCGATTTTTACAAAGCTCATCGGTCTGAAAAAGCGAGGTGTGCTGTGATTGGCCA